TATGTCACTATGTCATGTCACCTGCAGAGTTTTATTTTATTTCAGAGAGTAAATAATAAATAGAACGATTTTCGTATGACCTTGAAAATTGGTTTCGGTAACTGTTCGTTATTTGTTTTATCAGCTAATGGATGATAACATCAAAGAAAACCCTAATAATTATGGAGAAGGCGTTGTTTGATTGGCCAATCGTGTTACAGTATGACGTCAAAGCAAAGTATCAATTGATTTCTAGAAAGTTCTCAGGCATGAATTTTTTTTTTTCACCTGAGCGTTCATTTAACCAACCAAAAGCCACGCGCGTTTGTATCCATTCGATAAACCAATCAAATCGCTCTATTTCCGTTCATTTGTTGTGTTGTTCGCGCGTTTTCATTTCAAAGTCATACAAAAATCGCTCTATTGTAACTCATTCTTTGTGCACTTTTAATATTGTTTCTCTTTGATGCTACAGAAACTACGAGTGCGAACACATTACTTTTACCCACTCTTAGCCATGTATGCCAATAATGAAAATGCCAAAGGTATGATAAATTATACACTTAAGTAATTTTATGACCTTTTCTAGCTGCACCTACATTGCTTCGACTCCCGTCACATGACAACTGTGGGTCATGTGACCTAATGCATTTGTAATCGGGAAAGAGATAACGTCATGCTGTTATCAGGAGGAAGAGTTTCATTTCTTTTAACTTTGAACCGGAATCTAGAAACCTTCATGCCCATGGGGTTCGTCATTTTAAATTGTCATAAAAATGTCAATATTGATATTGCATTAACAAATTATTTTTAATTCCAGGTGCACAGGAATTAGTAAATTTGATGGGAGACAATGGCTTTGAGATGGATGGCACTACGTATGTATTAACAATACTTTACCGCTTTACCAGGGCTTTTGTTTCCTATCAGATTTTGAAGGCTTAGCACTACACTATTCCTGCAACTGTAAAGTGTACAATGGGTAGGTCTAGAAAATATCAAAATCCCTTCACCACCCCTCTAGAAATTCCAGTGAAGTTAAATGCATTCCTTTGAATTGTTTTTCCCGTCTTCGAGAACCATTTCCCCCTTCTGCTTTTTGTCTCTACTCCTTCCTTGGCAAGTGATCAGTCATGATCTGACAGATGATTTTACCCTTTTTCTGGGTTCTTGGATTTAGTTTAATGGAAAATGTAACAAAGTTATTCACCTTAAGCTTAGCAGTCTCTACCAGTCAGCAGTCAAACTTAAAAGTGTAGGCACTGTTTGCGCAGTTTGAAGCGATTGTTTTTCCTTCCACCCATCCATAGCAGTGTGATGGGTGCCTGAAATGGCGACTCATGGCCATGTTGCAGAGATTTGCCAGCCATGGGGACTGATTCTATCTACTTGCCGGCTGGATCTACCTTAGGCACCCTCCTTCCATTTAACAAGGCAGCTAGCTAACGAGGGAATCATTTTCTTTTCATTTTTTCCGTTTCTAGCTTGAGGTACCTGGTGAAATCTTATGGCAATCCAGATGCTGATGACGTGGAGTCCTTTATAAATCTTTCTCAGGTGCTAACACTTTTTACTCTTCGGAAAAATGAGAACAACCTCAGTGATAGTAATGCTCAGGTTTTGCCTGCATGTTGTTGCAAAACATTTTGAAGAGACAGAGTGGCACGGCACAGGGTTTCATTCTGTTCAGCCAAAATAGTTTTTTCAGCGTGCACATGCACTTGATACATGCAAAGCGTAATGTCCATTCAATACACGTCCGAAAGATTTGGACTATTAACCTGCTGTCCCTCAGCATTTCATGGAAGCCAAGTGCAGGGTTATTACCAAATATTGACGGATGACCAGATTTACAATGATCTTCTAAACATTATAAATTACCTCACTAACAATTATCATTAAAATGTACACTTTTCCTCTTTTGCAAATAAATTGGCCTCCATTATTGGTCCCCAAGTGTCATTATGATGTTGTTTGTTGTAGGATGTTCCTGTGTCTAAGTACATGCTAACAACAATGGCTTCATTAGTCATGACTACAGGGCAGCTAGATAAACTGCAGAAAACTGGTAAGCACAATGGTTTAGACCAAGATTAACCCATTCGCCATGGGAATTTTGGCGACAAAGTTTTGGAAGCTATTCGAACCGTTTTCTGGTCACTGTCTGGCTATAGTGAGACAAACCACCAGAAAAGCTGTTTAGTAAAGGTCGATTATTTCGCAGCCTTCTGTTCCAAATTCAAAATATTTGCTTCTGAAGTTCGGCCATGTTCAGAAATTAACATTTGGAAATGGGTTTGGGGTTTTTGATACTGTATTCTAGACTTTTCTTTTGCTTTTTCTCTCCTTCCCGTGAACAAGATAGATAACCGAGAGCCTTATACTTCAAAGCGGAGGTCTTAGATTTCCCTGTAATGACCGAACGGACGAGGTTAATATTTTATTGATTATATATATGGCCTTTTTGGCGCTTTCTTAAAAAGAATGCAATAAAGTAATTCTCAACATTCGCTTCAGCTTGAAAGAGGCCATTCGAAACCTGGCGATGCGATTGAAACCACCATACACAGTTTCTTTGACAATGAGACAATTTTTGTCGTTATTACCTCAAGATATAGGGCAAATTTAACCAATACTCGGTCACTACGGAAAATTTTGCCCGCTGAGCAGCCAACCAGAGCGCGTGTACTATTGTAGCCTTATAATAAACACAGTGTAACAGTTTAATACCCTGATTGTCTTTCTAGTCGAGTATGCCAAACAGGAAGGAATTAATCTCTTATGCATATCTGATGCTTTTGGACAGTATCTAGCAAAAAAGTGAGCAAACCTTTACGAGATATATATGATAACTAGGTGTGAGTACAGTTTAACCCTTCTAGCGGGCAGTTTTACAATTGCCATAAATTTGCATGAAGGTGCATTTCCTTATTTCTAATGACCTCCACACGTATCCGATATTTTTAAATCCGCAACTTTTTCTTTCCGGATACAGCTTCCGTCCACACGTATCCGGTGTATCCGGCAGACAAGTCCGCAACTTTTTGAATCCGCTCTCCTCTTGGACTTAAGTTTCAAGTCTTATAACGTGTGTGCGGTTAAACCTACATTGTTAAGCTTCTTTCCATGTCGGACGGTGGAATTGGGCGCCGTAAACGAGTTAAACGAGCATAATAGTGCTTGGTCAGGTGGGACAATTTTGTCAGTGAAACAGTTACTGAAGAACGTTGGCGATAAAATTTTCTCATGAGCCGAAGGTCGCTTTACGAATTAGCTGACGAAGTGAGAGTGCGTCCGGATACGTCAGTGTGGACGGGCAAATTCGATTTGAATACGGCTACGTGTGGAGGTGATTCAAAAATATCCGGATACGTGTGGACAGGGCTTAAATTTACAAACATGATTTCCTGTAAAATAGAAGCAGGGCGTTAATCTTTGATTTTGTTTCATAGGGTCCCCAGTAGGTTTGTCGGGATGCGGGATTTCCCTTATTGGAAGCTCGGGATTCGGGATTTTAACGCGAAATCGGCAAGATTCGGGATTGAGTATGCGTACGAGTTAGAATGCCCAAAATAATCCTCGGGATCACGGGATTACACGAAATTTTGGGTCGGGATCACGTGATTGAAGAACCTTATTGGGGACCTTCGTTTCAGGCTTATTTATGTGCCGAGTAGGTTGTACAAATCTGCTTTTATTTCCTTCCATTACTCAGTTCAATTGTATCATTTTCTTGGAATTGAAATAATTATAAGATTTTTTTCGGATTCTTTTTCAAACGTTATGGGTTGGTCATTCTGTTACGAGGATCATGTTCTCTTAGATATCTTTATCCGCAGTTAAAGATATATTTAAATACATGTCATTTCCACTATGATCGGGTATATTACGAACTCACAATGGCCTGCTCTCCTGTTGGTTTGATTAGCTCAGTGGATAGAGCGTTGCGTCTGGTCATCGCAAAAGTCAGTGTTCATTTCCCGATAAAGCCTGGATTTTTTAGTTTTTCTTTTTAACCGGTTTGGTTGCCCATTCTACTGCGAGGATCATGATCACTTTCATAACATTATTTTTGTTGTTTTTGTTAGGAATTTTGACCCACGAAATGCAGTGCAGGTAAGAAAACAATTCAGAAATGCGAACTAGTACTTAATAGGGGTTGGTCAAAACTGTATAATTAACAATTTATTCCACGAGTGCGCGTTAGATATGAGTTGGTAATAATCATCTCCTATCCAACAAGCGCGAGTGGAATAGTGTTTTATTAAAAACGCCCACAAAATTATTCCCGACTTTATTTGTAAAAACAACCCATTTTCAGCTTGTTTTAATTTCGAGCAGACGCGTGCAGTTACCATATTGGGAGAGCATGGTATAATGGCTCATATACCATGATGGCTGAGCCAATCAGAGCTCTAGAATTGCATGATCCAATGATTCAGTTTTTAATAACTTAAATCTCAAATTATGACAGTTACAGGTATTAGGTCCAGGTAGGGGGTAGTGGGGGAGGGGATGGGAGGGACAGTTTTTTTCAATATTGTGTTTTTTATTCTTGCAGATTGTTAAGCTTCTCGACAGTCTTGATGCAACTCTCGGATTGAGTAAGTCGAACGCAAATTGTTGATAATAAAGCCAATCTCTAAAAATACTGCTGCGGTTTTTTATTTTTATTGAATTTTATATTTTTTGTTTATTGGCTTTTGATAACCTCGCACAGTGAATTTCGGTTTTGGGTCGTTCCGGTAAAAGCCGGAAAAAGTAACACCTCGGAAATTTCGGTTTGCTTTATTTTCTGAAAAATGTGTTCGCTTTGTTTTCTGAAACATTTCTACCGGAAGGAACTGTTCAATCTGAAATATAACCGGAAATTATTGGTATTCTATACAAATGATAATAACTAATAAATAAGCGCCACTGGAATACCTTTTCCGGTTGCTCCGGGAAATTTTGGCCGCTGAAACTTTCCACCGGATAAACCAGAAAACAAGTGTTCCATTAGCCTCGCACACTTACGTACTTAGGAATTCCTCCCCGACTCCCACGAACGTCTACCAACGGTGGAGTTGGCTGCTCTCTTCAGCGGACGTTTGTGAGCAAAAATGCATGACGAAACGCTAAGAACGTCCGCGTGGGAGGGAGACTAGTGTACCATTTGCATTCTAAGCAGAATTTCCGTCCCTGCACGACTTTCCCTGCGAGCAGAGGGTGAAACGACGAGCGGAAAGCGAGACACCGGGAGAGGCCTCTGATAGACTATCGGGGGGTGGTGGTGGGGGCATTTTTTTTAGGCGACGTATTATAGGGGACGTAAGTTTCTGTTTTCTTTCTAAACTTGTTGAAGCCTATATCGCCAGGAAAAAACTTCCCTACAAATGACATTTTAACCGAGTTGCACAAATCGCCTTTACTTTCCCCAGGTAATGTTATTGTTAAAGCATGCGAAAAATGCAGCCAAAGAGAAGCCACTACAAGAGTAGAATTTGTTACCCTTCTTCTTAAGGAGGTAAGTTTCTAGTGGTCAAGTATTACTGTTACACTCGCATTCACAAATGTTGCTTTAAACCAGTGTACTACATGTATGTTAGAGTGCGTTTTACGCGTTCATACAGATTTTAAGATTCTGTCACTTTATTTATTTATTTATTTGTTTATCATTTATTTGCAGGGTTTGAATCATTTGTTGGAGTCTCGCACATTCACATTTGTTATGTCAAGTTTAACGCAAAATAAAATGACGACTGAGTTTTATGAAGTAAGTTCGTAGCGCAACTAGACCTGAAAAGAAACCCAACTTATTTTCTCCTTACAAGTCACCCCTTGAGGCCTTTAACTGTACCTTGAAGTTTGAAGATAAAAACCGCCGTTGAGATTAAGACAGTAATATTTCCGTTTATGCAAGGAAAAACAGGGTTACCGGTCGTTTTGAAACAAGTTTATTCAATCGAGGTGAAAATAGTTTCACGTCATTGCATTTGGCTTAAAGAACAAAGAATTTCACCAAAAATGCTCTTCTTTTTCACGCTTGAGTGAACGAAATTTTTGTGCAATTTCACAGCTTGAGTTCGTATCGAAACGACCGGTTTCCAAAAATAGACGCGTCTTACGTAGACGCCTACAATAGACGCGAACTGTTCCAGTTGTATACACGAGCATAAGATGCGTCTTGGCGCAGTCGTGTCTTTGTTTAAAAAGACTGTCGGTCTCATATGCCATTTAAGGGTGGAACACTCTTGGTGACAAGTCGTAGCAACACGTCGCGGCGACACCTTGATAAACTGCTTTTTACGTACGGGAGAATTTTTGTGAAAATCTTTGTCTCCGCGACATGATTTATTAAAATGATCTGATTTTCTGCGACGTCTTGAGGGGACAAATCCTGTCGTGGAGGCAAAGAGTTGCACAAGCATTCTCCTGTAAACACGAAGCGATTTGTCGCTCCGACGCGTGGGCGTATTACGCGACCTGTACACAGAAAGTGATTTATCGCTGTGACTTGTTGCAGCGACATGTCGCCTAGTGTCCCGACCTTTATTTGGGAGGTTTACGTCTTATTTTTTCCGTATAGATGACACTACTATCTTCTCTCACAGTGATTTTTGAATTGTTTTTTCCTTCACCCTTTTCTTAGTTTGTACGCGTTATGAAGGAATCCAAGGTGACATTAGATGAGCACCATTACAGACAGTTAATTAAGGTAGGTCATTTTCAGCATTTCTTTGTAGCCGACATTTCGCGACGCCATCAACGGTTTCCCCTCGAGTGACGTCTGAAGAACGAGCGCAGATACTAATGACGTGTCACTACCCTTATCGGGTTAACGCTTATAATTGGTTGAAAATTTGTTTCAACCAATCAGATCTGGGTAGTGACTCGTCATTAGTATGGAATTTCTGTGCTCGTTTCTCAGACGTTACTTCGAGAAACCAGTGGTGGTGTCGCGAAATGTCGGCTGTTTCCTCAGGCTATTTTTTTGTCACCCTGCTGTAGCTGCATGCATTATTTCAAACTTTTTTGAATTCAAGATAAAATTCTCTGATTTTTTTTCTTTATTTTTCTGCAGATGATGGCATTTGATGGAAAGGCAGAAGCTGCGCAATTTTGCTTTGAAAAGGCCGCAGTAAGATGTTGAATGTTATGTACCTTTTGGGGTCCTTTTGCTCTTTAATGTTGCTAAATATTGCTGGCTTCAGTATTTCTACATATCTTGGGTGACAATGTGAGAACCTTTAATCAGTCTTTACTGACTGAAGTGGATGTATGAAGGCGTTTACTAAGCGTGCCCATCCCCCACCCCTCCCCCCCCCCCCCCCTCTTTGTGGGTCGTGCTTTTTTTTTTTTTTGTTGCGGGTAGCATCCTAAATAGGCCCCCGGGGGGGGGGGGCAATTTTCAAAAAAAAAACCCCCCGGCCACAAAAAGGTTACAAAAAAGAAGAAGAAGGCGGGGGGGGAGAGGAGAGTGAGGTGGTGGTGGGGGCAAGAGTGATAAAAAAAAATTTTTTTCTTTTTGGGGTCCTTTTTCTTTTTATTTTGGTTAAATTTTGTGGGCTTAGGTTTTTCCAAATATTTTGGGGGAAAATGTGGAACCTTTTATCCGGCTTTTCTTGCTGCAGTGGGTTGTTTAAGGGGTTTTTCTAACGGGCCCCACCCCCCCCCCCCCCCCCCCCCCCCCAGTTTTTGGGTATCGGTTCTTTTTTCTTTGTGAAGGTGCAAATCATCATGATAGCCCTCGGCGGGGCGAGGAAATTTGTTCAAAAAAACTCCCCGGGACTAAAAACTGTGATCAAATACCCCATCCTAGGGACAAGTAAGATTTACATTTCCTTGACAGCCGAAGCTTAAAATCGCAATTAAACGCAGTGAGTAAATGACGGAAACAGGGGTCCGAAATTTTACCATGAGACACGACGAGAAATTCAACTTCGTCACAGTTTTTCTAAGAATTCCTTTCAAAGATTTTCGGGCTCCTATAGTTTTTTCTTCTCTATACTATAGATTCCTCTTCTCTCCAAAATTGTATGCAGTGTTTACAAGCGTGTTCACGCTTTCTTCTGGCTTGTGTTGGTTAAAATGCGTTAATATTTAACTGGAATCATTCTTTAAGGAGCTTGTGCTTGGGTACTCTTTATTTTCCATTATAGAGTTTTTATGCGTACTGGCTTATAACCAGTAAGCATTATGTCAACGTCTGTGTAAGTCCGTAAGTCCGACAATTATGACTGGGATCTGTTGTGTAACGTCGAAGCAACGATCAATTTCAGAGTGATATTCCGATGCATTTTTGCGCAGTATGGCATTTCCAGAAGTTGTATTAGTAGCTTCCTTATCATCCAAAACGCGAACTGCGTGAATCAGAATCTTGAAACTGATTATTCCTTTGTTTTGTTCTTTTAGAAATTAGCTGAACCAACAGACCTGATGTACAGTTATTTATTGCTGTCATATGCTCACTGCTCAGAAGGGGGAATATATGCTCGTGTACCGAAAGACAGGGTAAAAATTAATAGTGCACATTGGCTGTTACCTGTGTGATTACATCTCTTAGGCAACGTTCACAGACAATTCATGCGTTTTGGTGTGCCGCTTTCCCGGCACGCTAACTGTACGAATATTTCTAGCCGAAACGGTCAAAAATTTGTCTGGCGTGGTGTGAACACCATGACCCTCTGAATTTTTGTACGGGAATTCGTCCGGTGCCGTTTGAATTTAGCCTTAGTTAGTTAAAGGCTCTTCTAATTATTGTGGTTTTTTTTTGTAGTCAAGTTTCTGTGTTGAGGGTAATATGGCATAGAAGGCAGTGTGGCCGAGCGGTTAGAGCGCTGGACTTGTAATCCGGAGGCCCTGAGTTCAAGTCCCGCTCTAGCTGCTAACTGGATTTGTTCACTGTAGTCCCGAGTTGAAGTAGTAAAATGCAAAATGTTTATATCGACAGAGAGATCGTATACTTCTCGACGTCTTCGATATGAGGATAAATTTATAATAGTTTATATAAATAATTGCAACTTTCTTTTTCTTTATACACAGAACATGAAAAGAATTTGTCAATTGTACAATGAGATGTGGTCAAGAGGTCTGAGGTAAATTCCAGGTTTTTAGTTTGTTAGATAAATTTCGTTTTCTTTGGTTTAAGTCTCATTATTATACATTATCATACCCCAAAGCGGCAAAAGAGAATAAAATTTATACCAAGAATGAAATTGAACCACAACGTATATGCTGTAGGTAAAACTCTTTCTCAGCGTAAACCAGAGTTTCCTTTATCTCCTACATGTATGAACAATTAGGTTTGGGCGGAAAGAGAGAAAATTCTGAATCAACCTGAAGGGATGAAGACTGGTTTAGCCTAAGAGTGCATTTTACCAGCAACGTAAACACTCCCCAAATAAGCAGATTTGATGAGTTAGCGTCCCTTAAAAGTACAGTGCAAACTTAGGCCTGGTCCAAACGTCGAACTTTTCATGAGACGAATCAAACTTAGTGAGTCAAGTTCATGAAACGTCCGACGTCTGGCACAGTTAAGGTCGTCTAAATGAGTTTGGATAGTCTAACACGTTCTATTCGTCTGCTTCAGACGGATAGAACGTCTGAAGATCGTCTCCGGGAAAAGCGTTGATCTTCTCATGCGACGAACTAAACTAATAAATTAAAAATTCGTTTGATAATATATATTTAGCCTAGTTCGGGATAAAAGTTCGTAAAATCGCTATTTGGTCCGATTCAGTTGATTGGTTCGACTCGTCCTAAGTTTGACTTTTGATCCAACAGACGATCTTAACTTAATTTAGGTCGCCCAAATGAAAAGTTCTCGTGAAAGTGTCAACGTTTGGCCTTAGACTGAAGTTAGGATTGAAGTAACCTTGTTTCTATCGTTGTTTTTTTGTGAGTTAGACTGACAGCGCGGGCCAAAGGTGCGGCATGTATAGCTCATCTGATGATGGGAGATCTTGAAAAAGCGGAGGAAATAAGGAGGTGAGGAGGGCCGTGCGATACCCATCTTACAATATTATTGCGAGTTATCAAGGATACCATTATTGTTATGTTATTTATGTTATTTATTTTTTCAGTTAGTTTTTTAAGTTCAGTTTGAACATCAGTAGCTGTTTCAGTGCGTTCAGCTGGGAATAATTTTTTCTGTTTAGAAAGAACGTCTATGCGACCAGCAGATCATGAGCGTTTTAGACGGACAAACCAGAAATGTTGGCGGGCAGCTTTATGTTCAGTTTCAATTGCTTCAATCACCGTGCAAGTCCTGTTATCATATATATCCTACCGCAAGTAGGATATCGTGGGACATGGTCAAAGTTTTAGTCGGACATTATCCAGTGACCGACCCTTATTTGCAGCTCTGGACTACGATTGTACGAAAAGTAATCGTAGATTATAGTGTGTTCGCAGTTAGAGTATCTTTTGATCAGACGTGCATGGAAATCGGAAATATCTCTTAAAGGAAAATTTATTTTCGAAGACGTCTCAAATTTCAAGCGAACGAAAAAGTGCTCCCTGGGCAAAGGAATTTCCGGGTTCAGTTATCAAGAGTTTATATGGAGAATCAAGAGATCATATCTCTTGTTGAGAATTAAATGCAAAGTTGCATAAATTACACCGACAATGCTAAGTGGGTTACGCAAACATCAGAAAACTAGCTGCACCATTCTTGTATGAAATGCATTGTTTGCAAAGGTGGGGCTAGTTGTGAAACATCACCAAACAGTCCAGATTTCCGTTTTTATTTGTTGGCTACAACGGTTTGATGATCTATTCATCAAAAATGTGTGAATATCTTAGGTGTCATGATAAGCGACCCTCAACTTATAAGTTTCACTGGTTTCTTAACTGTCTTTTTTGTTATTGTTTTTTTTCTCTGCACAGTACACATGGGATAGGTGTCCCTCGATACAGAGTGTTATCAGAGTTCCTTAAAAGTTACTCTAAACGTGGTGATGTAGCAAGTAAGTCTTAAAGGTTGGGTTGGAACTAAGGTGGCCACACCTTGGCAACTCTTCCCACCTATTGAATCTGATGGGTGATCTCTGGTTAAACTCGTACGAGTAAAATATTGTTTTGCGTTTATCCCTTCTTCTTTATGCATCCTTCTTTCTAAAGGTGGATTTCTACTGTCGCGTAATTTTTATTTACGTAAATGAAATTTAAGAAATATATATATGAAAGGTAGCACGAAACCGTAAAAGTTGAGCGAGGTTCAACTTTTACTTTCACGCGCGACCTTTCATATTGCTTCTATTTTATTTACGCACGTAAATTGTACTCAATAACAAATGAAATGATATGTCTGGAGAGAAGAACACAGGAAAAAATTCTGAGTTCCAGATGGGAGTTGAACCCACGACCTTCCGTACACTAGTCGGATGCTCAAACCACTGACCTACTGAGAACTGAAGTGGTGAGCAGGTCGTAAAAATTACGCGACAGTGAAAATCCACCCAAAGGTAGCTCCATAATAGCAATTTTTCTTCTATGATTTCACCAAGGCTTGTCTGTATTAATTTTTCACTAAACACACAAGCGTATACACACGCCTCTTTCCTCAGAACATCGAAACATGAATTTTAAAACACGTGGTCTTGTAGTGGGCGGAATAAATACAGTAGCATGCATGGTTGCCAGCCTATCCCGCGGTAAAATGGATTTCTTTTGCTGCATTCATGTTCACTCCGAAAAACATGAACTTCACAACAAAAAAATAGGTTTTAGCATATATATCACCCAGAACTACGCAGCAGACATTTACGAGTACATTTTTAAAATTCCTTCATTACTTGACGAGATATATTACACCACTACCCTCTTCCATCGGTTAGCATAATTAATGTTTATGGTCCCACCTTTAACAAAAACATGAGCCTCTCAGTTATGGGCCCTCTTATTTCTTTTAAAAATTGATCTCTCTTCTTTATTTACTCTAAAGAGTCACAGGAATTATATGAGGAACTTAAAGAAGAAATGAAGAATCTTACCATGCCAACCTTTGTCTACAACAGTCTCCTACATGTCTATGGATTCCATGGTAACATGAACATTTTAACGTTGATTTGTATTAACTACAATGGTGATGGTAAACTAAGTATCGCAACATGATAACAACCAATGCCAGTATTGTTTTGGCCAACCACAGAAGCCGATATTAATGTAATAATGATCCAATTAAAACTCGGCTCGATTCCATCTTGTCGGGCCAAGCGGGAAATATTTTTGCCAGTTGGTTACCAGTGGTTTTGTTTCTGTTTCTGATTGAAAAGCAGAACCAAACGATTGCGGAGTTTCGCTGGAAATGTGCATGAAACATCCAGCATGATCCCATTTGTTCCGTTGACTGTAGGTTTGTCTATCATTGTCTCTCTGTTCATTTTTTTGGTGGATGGCGAAATCCTAAGGCCAATGTTAAAGACCACATTTCAATTAGAGTTCGTATAAAGAAGGGAGAAATTGCTCTGCTGAAACCAATAAAAACAGGTGGAAACCCTTGCCGCCTTTCCTTTAAAACCTGCAACAATAAGTATCTGAAATTTTAAATAACATTTATAAGGATATGTATGGGATATCTTATCCTGGTTTGCCAAAACCTGGCCATTGAAAATGTATAGCCGTTTGATCAGAAGAAGGTCCAAACAACTTTTAATAAGTGCTTAAACTGTTGAATTTTTCAGGTGACATTGACTCCCAGTGGAAGATTTTTGAGGAGATGAAGAAAAACAACGTGGAACCCAATCAGTTTTCCTACTCCAATATCATCAGAACATATTTACACAAGTAAGTAAAGAATAATAAATGTCAAACGAAAGTTGTAGTTCACATTGTCTTGAAAGTAATAATTGGCTTTTGATAACCTCGCACAGTGAATTTCGGTTTTGGGTCGTTCCGGTAAAAGCCGGAAAAAGTAACACCTCGGAAATTTCGGTTTGCTTTATTTTCTGAAAAATGTGTTCGCTTTGTTTTCTGAAAAACTTCTACCGGAAGGAACTGTTCAATCTGAAATATAACCGGAAATTATTGGTATTCTATACAATTGATAATAACTAATAAATAAGCGCCACAGGAATACCTTTTCCGGTTGCTCCGGGAAATTTTGGCCGCTGAAACTTTCCACCGGATAAACCAGAAAACAAGTGTTCCATTAGCCTCGCACACTGACGTACTTAGGAATTCCTCCCCGACTCCCACGGACGTCTACTAACGGCGGAGTTGGCTGCTCTCTTCAGCGGACGTTTGTGAGCAAAAATGCGTGACGAAACGCTAAGAACGTCCGCTTGGGAGCGAGACTAGTGTGCCATTTGCATTTTAAGCAGAATTTCCGTCACTGCACGATTTTCCCTGCCAGCAGAGGTTTATACAGCGAGCGGAAAACGATACACCGTGAGAGGCCTCTGATAGCAATGAATGTACGACTATCGGGGGGTGGTGGTGGGGGATTTCTTTTTGGCGACGTATTATAGGGGACTTAAGTTTCTGTTTTCTTTCTAAACTATAACTTTCGAAGCCTATATCGCCAGGAAAACTCTCCTACAATTGACATTTTAACCGAGTTAGACAAATCGCCTTTACTTTCCCCAGGTAATGTTATTGTTAAAGCATGCGAAAAATGCAGCCAAAGAGAAGCCACTACAAGAGTAGAATTTGTTACCCTTCTTCTTAAGGAGGTAAGTTTCCAGTGGTCAAGTATTACTGTTACACTCACATTCACAAATGTTGCTTTAAACCAGTGCACTACATGTATGTTAGAGTGCGTTTTATGCGTTCATCCAGAAGTTAAGATTCTGTCACTTTTTATTTATTTATTTATTCATTCATTCATTTGTTTATCATTTATTTGCAGGGTTTGAATCATTTGTTGGAGTCTCGCACATTCACGTTTGTTATGTCAAGTTTAACGCAAAATAAAATGACGACTGAGTTTTATGAAGTAAGTTCGTAGTGCAACTAGACCTAAAAAGAAACCCAACCTATTTCCTCTTTACTAGTCACCCCTTGAGCCCGTGAAATGTACCTTGAAGTTTGAAGATAAAAACCGCCGTTGAGATTAAGACAGTAATATTTCCATTTATGCAAGGAAAAATAGAGTTACCGGTCGTTTCGGAACAAGTTTATTCAGACCAGGTGAAAATAGTTTCACGTCATTGGCTTAAAGAATGAAGAATATTCACACAAAATGTTTTTCTTGTTCACGCTTGAAGTGAGCGAAATTTTTGTGCAATTTCACAGCTTGAGTTCGTATCGAAACGACCGGTTTCCAAAAATAGACGCGTCTTACGTAGACTCCTAGCCGCGAACTGTTCCATTTTTATACACAAGCGTAAGATGCGTCTTAGCGTAATCGTAATTTTTGTGCAAATCTTTGTCTCCGCGACATGATTTATCTTCGCAACAAGTAGCATGCACACATTTAAAATGATCTGATTTTCTGCGACGTCTTGAGGGGACAAATCCTGTCGTGAAGGAAAAGAGTTGCTCAAGAATTCTCCTGTACACACGAAGCGATTTGTCTCTCCGACGTGTGGACTTATTACTCGACCTGTACACAGAAAGTGATTTATCGCCGTGACTTGTTGCAGCGACAGGTCGCCTAGTCTCCCGACCTTTATTTGGGAGGTTCACGTTTTATTTTTCCCGTATAGATGACACTACTATCTTCTCTAATAGTGATTTTTGAATTGTGTCTTTTTCCTTTTCCCTTTTCTTAGTTTGTACGCGTTATGAAGGAATCCAAGGTGACATTAGATGAACACCATTACAGACAGTTAATTAAGGTAGGTCATTTTTAATTTTTATTATTATTTTTTGTAGTAGCCTAAGAAAACAGCCGACATTTCGCGACGCCACCAACGGTTTCCCCTCGAGTGACATCCGAAGAACGAGCGCAGAAATTCTATACTAATAATCTGTCACTACCCTGATCGGGTTAACGCTTCTGATTGGTTGAAAATTTGCTTCAACCAATCAGAGGCACTACCCCGATCTGGGTAGTGACACGTCATAAGTATGGAATTTCTGCGCTCGTTTCTCAGACGTCACTTCGAGAAACCAGTGGTGGTGTCGCCAAATGTCGGCTGTTTTCTGAGGCTAATTATTTCTTTGTCACCCTGCTGTAGCTGCAAGTATTATTTGAAAACTGAAAATTCTCTGATTTTGTTTTTCTTTACTTTGCTGCAGATGATGGCATTTGATGGAAAGGCAGAAGCTGCCCAGTTTTGTTTTGAAAAGGCGGCGGTAAGATGTTAATTGTTATGTTCCTTTTCGGCTCCTGTTGCTTTTTAATGTTACTAAATATTGCTGGCTTCAGTATTTTTATATGTTTGAGCGACACTGTGTGAACCTTTAATCAGTCTTACTGACTGATGAAATGGATGTACGAAGGCGTTTATTATTCAGTCAATTCCAAGCGTGCCCATCCCCCACCCCCTCCCCCAATTTTTTGTGCATTTGTCCTCTTTTCTTTGTGATGGCCCTCGTCGGGGCGAGGAAATTTGTTCAAAAACCTCCCCACAGCTAAAAACTGTGATCCAACGGACAAGTAAAAAATTATATTTCCTTGCCAGCCTAAAAGCTTAAAATCGCAATTAAACGCACTGAATAAATGGTGAAGACAGTTTTCCTCGATTTTTCGATGGACCCCGGCGAAGAACGTCGTCACAGTCCAAATTCAACTTCCTGACAGTTTCTTTGTGAGAAGTTCTTGCAAAGATGGACAGGCCCCCATTGCTTTTGTCTCCTCTTTAGATTCCTCTTCTTCTCTGTTTACGCTTTCCGCTAGTCAGTGTTGATAAAAAACGCCTTAATATTTTAATAAAACCTCAATCATCCTTTAAGGAGTTTGTGCTGTGTACTCTTTATGTGCCATTATAGATTTCTTTTTGTGCTTACTTGCTTATAACCATAAGGCATGATGTCAACGTCCGTGTAAGTCCGACAATTATGCCTGGGATTGTAGAGCCCTGTAGCTGAGGTCTTGGATGCCTGTTAGATCTGTTGTCTCTCTACCGCACAAGCAACCCAACCAACTTCAGATTATATGGTGTTATTCCGATGCGCTTTTGTACAATATGGCATTCCAAGCTGAATTATTAGTTTCTTATTATCATATTCGCAAATTGCATGTATCAGTATCTTGAAACTGATTTTTGATTTGTTTTGTTGTCTTAGAAATTAGCTGAGCCAACAGACCTGATGTACAGTTACTTATTACTGTCATATGCTCACTGCTCAGAAGGGGGAATATATGCTCGTGTACCGAAAGACAGGGTAAATAATGCGCATTATTATTCTTTGCAAATTTTTCTCCCTTTCATTGGCCGAGAGCCCACCACGTGATCTGCAAACAACTACCTACAAATAATGGTCTGCTCATGCGTAATGTCGCCCAACTTTGTTTGTCTGCAAATACTATTCTGCTCATGCGAAAATGAAACCACGCCTTTCTCCTTCTTGCAATCACTCTTGCGTGAAAATGGCAGATCGCTTCGCTTCCCGATAATATTCCTTTAAAAAACAAACTCGACGAACGAATGATAAAACAATTGTTGAACTCGGTCATTGCAAAATATCGTGATTTGTCAGTGTCTTGCAGACCAATTAACTGCCTCCGCTTTCGGCTTGGGCAAATAATTGATCTACTCGCCACTGACAAATCACGATATTTTGCTCAGCTTCGTCTAATAATTGTTAACTGACTGTTACCTGTTGATTACATCTCTTAGACGACGTTTACACAGCACGAATTGTCGAAGCTCGTGCGTTTACACGGGACCACGCCAAGCGGTAGAAAGTTTAGTTGCCCAGCCGTTCAAAATTTTGACCGCCAAAATAGAGGTCAATCTTTTTAGCCGAAACGGTCAAAAATTTGACTGGCGTGGGGTGAACACCATGACCGTCTAAATGTTTGTACGGGAATTCGTCTGGTATCGTTTGAATTTAGCCTTAGTTAGTTAAAGGCTCTTTTAATGATTGTGTCTGTTTTTTTGTAGTCAAGTTCCTGTGTTGAGGGTAATATGGCATAGAAGGCAGTGTGGCCGAGCGGTTAGAGCGCTGGACTTGTAATCCGGAGGCCCTGAGTTCAAGTTCCGCCCTGACCGCTAGCTGGATTTGTTCACTGTAGTTCCGAGTTCAAATCCTCGGCCACACTTTTAAATAGCTAACTTGTTTGCCTCTGGTCACTTGGGATTCTTAACCTTGTTATGTTTATTCAGTTATATGATTCTGTCCTTATTTGTGGGCCACAATCAAAACTATTGGGTTGTCAGTATTTGTGTTACCCTATGTTAGTCAGTCAGCCAATGTAAAGCAAGTCAAGGAATCGGTTTGGGTCCAGTCCATAGGTTTAGTCTAGTTGCGCGTCTGGTTTGGTGTAAGTCTTGTTCTATCTAGTCTAGGTTAAAGCATAGGTTAAGTTTAAATTATCTAGTCGAGTGAATGTAGTTCTACGTATAGTTCTGACAAACCAGTGAAGTAGTAAAATGCAAAATGTTTATATCGACAGAGAGATCGTATACTTCTCGACGTCTTCTATATGAGGATAAATTTATAATAGTTTATATAAATAATTGCAACTTTCTTTTTCTTTATATACAGAACATGAAAAGAATTTGTCAATTGTACAATGAGATGTGGTCAAGAGGTCTTAGGTAAATTCCAGGTTTTTAGTTTGTTAGATAAATTTCGTTTTCTTTGGTGAAAGTCTCATTATTATGCATTATCATACCCCAAAGCGGCAAAAGGGAATAAAATTTATACCAAGAATGAAATTGAACCACAACGTATATGTTGTAGGTAAAACTCTTTCTCAGCGTAAACCAGAGTTTCCTTTATCTCCTACATGTATGAACAATTAGGTTTGGGCGGAAAGAAAGAAAATTCTGAATCAACCTGAAGGGATTAAGACTGGTTTAACCTGAGAGTGCATTTTACCAGCAACGTAAACACTCCCCAAATAAGCAGATTCGATGAGTTGACGTCCCTTAAAAGTACAGTGCAAACTTAAGCCTGGTTCAAACGTCGAACTTTTCATGAGATGAACCAAACTGAGTGAGTTAAGTTCATGAAAAGTTCGACGTCTGTCTCAGTTAAGTTCGTCTGAATGAGTTTGCATCGTCCAACACGTTCTATCTGTCTGTTTCAGACGGATAGAACGTCTGAAGATCGTCTCCAAGAAAAAAGTTGATTCATGTCACGAACTAAACTAATAAATTAAAAATTTGTATGACAATGTATATTTAGCCTCGTTCGGGATAAAAGTCGTTGAAATTGCTTTTTGGTCGGATTCAGTCAAATGGTTCGACTCATCCAAAGTTCGACTTCTGACCCAACAAACGATCTTAACTTCATTTAGGTCCACCCAAATGGAAAGTTTTCGTGAAAGGTTCGACGTCTGCCCAGGCCTTAGAGTTAGGATTGAAGTAACCTTGTTTCTATCGTTGTTTTATGTGAATTAGACTAACGGCGCGGGCCAAAGGTGCAGCATGTATAGCTCATCTGATGATGGGAGATCTTGAAAAAGCGGAGGAAATAAGGAGGTGAGGAGGACCATAGGACACTCATCTTAAAAATATTATTGTTAGGTATCAAGTATATCATTATTGTTATGTTATGTTATTTTTTTTTAAGTTAGTGTTTTTATTAAGGTTGAGTTTAAACATCAGTGGCTGTTTCAGTGCGTGGAGCTGCAATAATTTTTCTGTTTAGAAAAGAACGTCTATCCGACCAGCAGGTCATAAGCGTTTTAGACGGACAAACCAGAAATGTTGGCGAACAGCTTTATGATGAGTTTCAATTGCTTCAATCAGCGTGCAAGTCCGGCTGTTATCTTATATCCTACCGCAAGTAGGATACCGTCGTGGGACATGGTCAAACTTTTAGTCGGACATTATCCAATGACCGACCCTTATTTGCAGCTCTGGACTACGATTGTACGAAAAGTAATCTTAGATTATAGCGTGTTCGCGGTTAGAGTATCCTTTGATCGGACGTGCATGGAAATCGGAAATATCTCTTAAAGGATAATTTATTTTCGAAGACGTCTCAAATTTCAAGCGAACGAAAAAGTGCTCCCTGGGCAAAGGAGTTTCCGGGTTCAGTTATCAAGAGTTAAATATGTAGAATCAAGAGATCATATCTCTTGTTGAGAATTAAATGCAAAGTTGCATAAATTTCACCGACAATGCTAAGTGGGTTACGCAAACATCAGAAAACTTGTTGCACCATTCTTGCATGAAATGCGTTGTTTGCAAAGGCGGGGCTAGTTGTAAAACATCACCAAACAGTCCAGATTTCCGTTTTTATTTCTTAGCCACAACGATTTGATTATCCATTTGTGTGAATATCTTAGGTGTCATGATAAGCGTCTCTTAAGTTATAAGTTTCACTGGTTCCTTAACTGTCTTTTTTGTTATTCTTTTTCCCTGCACAGTACACATGGCATAGGTGTCCCTCGCTACAGAGTGTTATCAGAGTTCCTTAAAAGTTACTCTAAACGTGGTGATGTAGCAAGTAAGTCTAAAGTTTGGACTGGAACTAAGGTGGCCACACCCTGGCAACTCCTCCCACATATTGAATCTGATGGGTGATCACTGGTTAAAAGCGTACAAGTATAACATTGTTTTGCGTTAATTCCTACTTTTTCATGCATCGTTCTTTCCAAAGGTGGATTTCTATTGTCGAGTAATATTTACTTGAGTAAATGAAACAAAAAATGTATAAAAGGTAGCACGAAAACGTAAAAGTTGAGCGAGGTTCAACTTTTACTTTCACGCACGACCTTTCATATTGCCTCTATTATATTTACGCACGTAAATTGTACTCGCGTAAAAATTACCCGACATAATATATAGATTTAGCCAGGGCTAAAAGCGAGGCTCCCATTAATAAATTTATAATTTAAATCAAACAATAATCTTGTATTCCACAATTCAGTTAACTTTAGAGCAAATTCGTGTGACTTTTCATGGAAAGGCTAAGTGATTTTACAAAAAATAATTTGCAAGCAGCCCAAGAGTGAACCAAATCTCACATCGAGTTGATAGCCTCATAAGTACACCCAAAAACTGGCAATCATCTTCGATCACATTTATTAAGAGCCATAATGGCTCATGATCGCCTTAGATTAATTAGGCCTGGAAAAAAAATTCCGGCCGAATTTTTTGCGTTCGACAAGTTTACTTTACAAAATCTTGCCAACAAATCTGGGTGCGACTGTAAACCAACCTTTTATATCATTTATACATCACATCTGAGGTGAAACAGTACTATGAGGCACTGTTTTTATCATACAGACCTCGCACAACAGAATGCAGTATTTCACAATATTGCGATACAAATTGCTATCATTCAATATTCAGGACGATCGCAGCACGCGTGGGCTTTAGCTAAACCGTTAAAAAAAATTTTCAAAATCATCTATACGGCCAGCCGGTTCTGACTTTTGCAGTGCTAGCAGTGGCGAGTGTTTGAATGAACATTAACAGAGTTACGCTCCAACATAATAAAGAATTTATTATGTTTATTTTTTATTTTAAAACGGTTTAACGCGCGGCATTTTGAGTACTCCGGGAAGCGTTGTTCACTGAACGACTGAAAACAATCGACACAGCGATTAAAATTACAAGAGACAGTACTAACAATTAATAAAAGAAATATAATTCGGAGAAACATATACAGAGACGACAATTTTCATTCAGGAAGACAAGTATTAAAGTGTCTCTAAAAATCCTGAGTCTTCGAGCTTAAAGCTGAATTTTGTGTTTTAAGCCGGCTTCCCGGTGTTTGCTTTTTTCAAAGACGAACTCGAGGCAAGGAAATCGCTCAAACCTTTCTTTTACAGTCAGAATTATAACTAAATATTCCTTGAAACGTTTTCTTTCTATTTGCGGTGAGAAAATGTCTAAAGGCTTTTTAAAGATCTGTAAGCTTATAACAAACCTGATACGCGGTCAGATCATTGTCTCAAATCTTACAAACGTGCGTAAACAAAATAGCCGCATAAACTACGCTCGACTTCATTAAATTAGGAATAAAAAACAAACATCAAATACAATAATTACTTAGGCTTACCACTCGAGATGCAGCTCCTGAAAGGTATCAAGGAAGGCCAGTATCGCTTCAGACTTTGCAACCCTCTTACGCATTAAGCAAGGTGAAAACGAAAACGATGCCATCCGAAATCGGATTTCCGACTTTGACTCAACCAAAAACCCAATAAACAAACTAGCCATGAATAACAGAAGACTCCTGATAGAATCTGAATTTCATTTTGTACATCCAGTGGAAAAAGAAAGTTAAAAACATCACAAGTTGACACAAAACTCTGTCAGCTTCAGCTGTCAAAGTAAACAAGATTCAAGATGCTGCATAAATTTTGCGCATGAACTCACCTGTCAAATTTTGACCAATCAGAGCATAAAAATTGGACGTAGAGCGTGACCAACGCGTGAACATGGCGAGAAAAGTCAAAAGCAACTGTCTTCCCTGCCTGTAGCAGCTGGCTGAATTTTCGCGTCCGAGGTCAGTTTGAAATCAAAATTTTAATTGTGCGGCACATAAACACAACATATTTCATATGAATTTTAAAAAAAAATTAAACTTGAGCCTGCAATCATTTGAAAACAAGTACCTTGTCAGCGGATAACTTCAAAAAAATACTCGACCTCGATGGGTCGACACCTGAGCCCGCGATTCGCTCAAGTGATACTGGTCAGCGGATACCTTGTTTTGACAGCTGTCAATTGATCACATTTCCTGTGCTCCGATCCCAAACTAGCTAAATATTAATAATAATATCCATGCTAAAAAGTATGAGATTGAATATTGTTTGCGATCTAGTAAAACGATTAACTGGTCAGCGGACAGCTTCCAAATAAATTACGTCACCTCGATGAGTTGACAAATGAGCCCGCGTTATGGTCATGGGATACTGGTCAGTGGCTATCCTGTTTTGACAGCTGTCAATTGACTATATTGTGAATGTCATATAAAAAAGATGAGGACTTGCCAACACACGCCTGAGACACCCCTCCCTTCCTTTTGATAGTCTCCCCTACCCTACCCGTACAATCTGTAGACGCGTACGTACGTACGTACGTATGTACGTACGTACGTACGCTCGGTCAGTCACGTGACAACCAAGCGAAAAGAGGTTGACCATATTCCATGAGTATGGGGCTCTGTCCCACGCGCGCTTCGCGCGCGCGGGAGCCCCGCTAATAATAGCAATTTTTCTTTTACGATTTCACCTAAAGCTTGTGTGTATTAATTGGTCACTAAATACTCAAGCGTATACACACACCTCTTTCCTCAGAACATCGAAACATGAATTGTAAAACACGTCTTGTAGTGGGCGGAATAAATACAGTAGCATGCATGGTTGCCAGCCTATCCCGCGGTAAAATGGATTTCTTTTGCTGCAATTATGTTTACCCCAAAAAACGTGAACCTCACATAAAAACAAAGGTTTTAGCATATATATCACCCAGTACTACCCAGCAGACATTTACGATTAAATGTTTAAAATTCCGTCATAACCTGATGAGATCGTGTTACACCACTACCCTCTCCCATCGGTTAGCATAATTAATGTTTATGGTCCCACCATTAACAGAAACATGGGCCTCTCAGTTATGCGCCCCATATTTCTGAAATTGATCTCTCTTCCTTATTTCCTCTAAAGGGTCGCAGGAATTATATGAGGAACTTAAAGAAGAAATGAAGAATCTTACCATGCCAACCTTTGTCTACAACAGTCTCCTACATGTCTATGGATTCCATGGTAAAATGAACATTTTTACGTTGATTTCTAATATATAGATTTAGCCAGGGCTAAAAGCGAAGCTCCAATTTTAATAAATTTATAATTTAAATCAAACAATAAACTTTTAATCCACAACTCATTTAACTTAAGGGCACATTCATGTGACTTTTGAGGGAAATGCTAAGTTATTTTAGAGTGAAACATCTTACATCGAATTGATAACCTTATATGTACACCCCAAAAATAGCAAACATCTTCCATCACATTCAAGATCACAGTAGATTAGGCCTCGAAAACAAATTCTTGGAAAACAAATCATGCCAAATTTTTTTGCGTTCGACAGGTTTACTTTACAAATTCTTGCCAACAAATCTGGGGGTGTTTAAACCAACCTTTTATAATTTTTATACACCACATTTGAGGTGAAACAGTACTATTTATCATACAGAGCTCGGACAGAATGCGGTATTTCACAATTTTTCAAGACAAATTGCACTCAGTCAATATTCAGGACGAGCCAAACCGTTCAAAAATTTCAGAAAATTTCCAAAATCACCCATACGGCCAGCTGGTTCTCGTTTCTATAGTGCGAGCTGTCAGTGTGGTCGAGTGTTTGAATGAACTTTAACAGAGTTACGCTTCAACATAATAGCGAATTTATTATTATTTGTTTTGTTATTTAATGGTTTCAGTTATAACGATGTGTAATCTTATAAAGCGTTTGATACGCGCGACATTTTTGAGTACTCCTGCAAGCGATGGTCATGAACGATGAAAACAAACGGCACGGACAAGCGATTAAAATTGCAAGAGAGACTACTAACAATCAAAAAAAGAGACATAATTCCATAACTATAATAGTGATGGTAAACTAAGTATCGCAATATGATAACCACCAATGCTAGTATTATTTTGGCCAACCACAGGAGCCGTTATTAATGTAATAATGATCCAATTAAAACTCGACTCAACTCCATCTTGCCGGGCCAAGCGGGAAATATTTTTGCCAGTTGGTTACCTGTGGTTTTGTTTCTGTTTCTGATTGAAAAGCAGAACCAAACGATTGCGGAGTTTCGCTGGAAATGTGCATGAAACATCCAGCATGATCCCATTTGTTCCGTTGACTGTCGGTTTCTCTAACATTTTCTCTCTGTTCATTTTGTTGGTGGATGGCGAAATCCTAAGGCCAATGTGAAAGACCACATTTCAATTAGAGTTCCGTATAAAGAAGGGAGAAATTGCTCTGTTGAAACCAATAAAAACAGGTGGAAACCCTTCCCGCCTTTCCTTTAAACCTGCAACATTAAGTATCTGAAATTTTAAATAACATTTATAAGGATATGTATGGGATATCTTATCCTGGTTTGCCAAAACCTGGCCATTGAAAATGTATAGCCGTTTGACCAAACAACTTTTAATAAGTGCTTAAACTGTTGAATTCTTCAGGTGACATTGACTCCCAGTGGAAGATTTTTGAAGAGATGAAGAAAAACAACGTGGAACCCAATCAGTTTTCCTACTCCAATATCATCAGAACATATTTACACAAGTAAGTAAAGAATAATAAATGTCAAACGAAAGTTGTAGTTCACATTGTCTTGAAAGTAATCAGAATGGTATTAGGATCTCAAAATACTTGTATGGGTCACACTCGCCATGGGACCACCAATTTCCGAGGTGCATATTTGTATACTGCGTTCGTTTCATAGGGGTGTAAAAGCGGTTAAGCTAGGTTTGTTTCCGAGGAAAGCAACGCCTGCTACTCTCTCATCTTAGAAGCCCGTGTCAACATCCCATCAGCTGTAATGATCCCTTCTGTATCTTTTTGGCATTCTTCCCGCAGTAATTCCACGTAGGGAGATAGCGGCCACACGAGCAACTTTTATCTTATTTTCCCGATGGCTGGTGTATGACCTTACCCCACGGGAAAAAGCTTAATGTAACCGCAATCGACTGTTACTACAGTGGACGTTCTCGTAAGCGGACACGCTTAGGACGCGAAAAGGGCGTCCGTTTTTTAATGCTGTTGCTGGTCGCTTATGGGATTGGTTCTTTTTTCGGCCACTAGAGGTGAAGGGGTAAAATGGCCGCTTGCAGGAGCTTACCCAGCTACAAATAAACACTGAAAAGTAAAAAAACTGTTTGTTAGTATAATTGCTATACTGTGGATCCGACAACGTTGTAGCCTAGTCACAGGCATAAAATCCTATTGGTCTGTTGAAGTATAACTGACCTGAAAGTGTCCGCGACCGCTTACGGCATTGTAAAAATACAGATTTTGTATGGGAATTCAAAAGTAGAGCTGTCCACTTACGAGAGTAGGAAGCTTACGCAACTACTACTACTACTACGACGACGACAACTTAAAAAAACAATAGGTTTAATGATCAAAACAACAGCTCTGCACGTGCATCACGCTTTTTAGTGCATTCCTTTGACGTCCACTGCACGACTACGACGTGAAACCTCCTAATTTGACGTTTTATTGAGGACGTGGACATAAGACGACGAATTTCCATTCCTCTTCTTGAACTTGAATAAAATCCTTAAGAATTCAACTCCAGGAAAAGTCACCTGCATTTAACATATTGAGCGGGTCCAAATAGACGCGATTAAGTTTGAAAGAACGCAAATTCATTTTTTTAGAGACGTTTTCACTGCCATCGTCGTCGTCGTTGCTTAAGGTCCCTAACTAGTGTCCGTTGGAAGAACTTCCACTGTACTACTTGGCAAATCTAAACATGGTGAACTAAACAGTCAGGGCTGTCACTGATGGACGGGGACCGGGGAATTCCTCTGGCAACTATGAGTACGACTCCCGGCTACTTAAAAAGAATAAAAGCTTCTTCCTAATTTCTCGCTTACTCTAGCTAATTACATATATCCCGTTTCAATACTTGAAATCATAGTTACAGCCATGTAAACTGTTGTGAACCAAAGCTTTTAGATTCGAGCACTGCTACTCGTTAAGTTTATTTTTAAGCGCAAAAGACTTGTCGGTGGGATAATCATACTTTCCTCCTTCGTAGGGATGACATTGATACGGCATTGAAAATCTTTCAAGATGCGAAGGAACAAGGAAAGTTCATATCAGATGCGACATGCCTTCTTTTACTTAACTCTATGGCAAGAACGGGCCAGTTGGAACACTTCGAGAGTGGTAAGCGACATATGGGTGCTTTTCGTTTGTTTGGAAAAACTGGTGGTCATAGTGACTGACATGATCGCGCAAAATGAGTGGACATCGTACGTCATTCACAGGGCGGATGCCCTGGTTATTCATGACCGCCGAAGTGGCAAATTAAAATGCACGAGTGCTTTGATTAAGCTCCGAATAAGAGAAGAAAGGACCACACTTTGTCCACCAGCGTTGATACAACTCATTTTTGTTACTTTCTCAGCTCCAGATGAATGGGATTTTGAAAATGAATGATGTGTCTACGATTTAAGCGAGGCACAAAAGACAAGCGTCTACTTGATTAAAGGACATGGCTCATCACTTGAAAGTTGATTAAAAACAAAATGCTTATTTCTTGTATGGAAGCTAAATTTTGTTCTACATGTGTGTAAAATGTAAATATACTTGAGCCTTTGGCATCTGCTGTATTTTTTAGCTTTGGAAGACATCATGACGAACAGAGTAGCATCTGCGTACAGCATGAAATGGGGTGGATTACTGCGTGGTATAGTGTTCTGTTGCCTTCATGCTGGAAAGAAAGATCTTGCCCTGAAAATCCAGTTGGTAAGTTCTCCTGTCTTATTTTAAACAACCCCACGGAAAAATGCTGTCCGGTAAATTTCGTCTGAATGAAGCAAATAGAATAGCGTTTATTATATGGCTGATCCGCGAGCGGTCAAGGTGAAGCAAATCCTGTGTTATGATGTGCTACCCGAACGGCCAAGAGAGGCCCATGTTGGCCACTCGGGATTTCCCGCGTTGGTCCCGCAAGTGAAAGTTCTGTCTTTGGCAATACAATAAATACTTTCTTGACCAAGCTTGTTTGGTCAAGAGAGATGAATATTGGCCTTTTGCGTGTTCATTGCCCTGGGCTTCGTCTCGGTTCATAGAAACCCGAAATGAACTTGGCCAGTATCGAGCCATCTTGACCGAAAAATCTCGGTCAATAACGGATAGATTCATCAATGAAGGTAACTTTGTACAGCCTAATATAGAGAGACCACTGGAAAACTAGTACTCCTAGTAGTTGTCAATTCAACGGTCACTCGGTAGGATTTCATGTACATGTATAGGCTCAAAAGGTAGAAACGCCTTAAACAGTCCATGTATTTCAGTCGTTTTTATGATGACACTTCAGAGGTTTAGACAAGTCGCCCTTGCAAACTTTTAACCGGCTTACCCAGTTTTGCCAGGGGAGCTGTGAAATAATTCATTGAAGAAGAAACATGCAAGTCCCAGTTAAAAATTGAGTACTTCTTCAAACTTCCTTTCATGTATACCTATTGGCTGTGTACCAGCACGAGAGATCTCTTTTCTAGAGTAACGGAATATTTAGAAGTCGTTTCCTTTTTGCTGTACGTAGGAACATGAAGTGCGTTTGGAAATACCTGCATTTGTTGCGTATGCAGAAAACTCTGCGAAACGAGGAGAGGTATGCTAGTATTTAGTTAAATCAGACATTACACGTTCTATGCAACGTGCCATGAATTTGCCTCGTTTGTATGCAACTATACTTTATCATGATTATTAATAATAGTAAATTTATACCCCATTTGTCTGTGTGTGACGCAGAGGCCATAGTAATGTTATAGGTTCGAAAACTGTCCGGGATTCTTTCAGTTTCTTTATTCTTTGAAGAATTTTGTTTTGTCACGTTATTGTTGTGTTTTGATTGTTTTTTTGGCCTGGCGAATCTTCCATAGATAATCTTCACTCGTTCTAACTTGTCTTGGTAAACAATTTTATGTGGTAAATAGATTCTTTAAACTGTATAAACTGTCCAGCGACGTTACTTGTATTATTATTTTGTTTTCCTCTGTAAGGAAGACTAGTCTATTCGAAGGTAGCGGGTAATATAGAGAGTCAAGCTTCTTCTATAACTTCTTCTCAATTTCCTTTTTTTTAATTGTCCCTAGGTTGACGCTGTATTGAACGCAATAGAATTCTTTAAAGAAAATGATATTAACCCTGCAGCATTGTATCTACCCCTTATCAAGGCGTACGGTAAGTCATATAAGGCATTTGTACCATAACAATGAATGAGACCCTCTCTCTTTTGCTTTATTAAGAGGGTGATATATATGTTGTGATTCAATTTTTTCATTGGTCTAAATTTTCTTTTCTTTTGTTTTAGGGTACTGTAATGTATGATAATGAGTTTGAAACAAAAGAAAAGAAAATTTAAACCAAGGATAAAATTGAACTACAAAGTATACACCAGAAACCGATTACTTGACCCTTCCTGTAGATGGAACTCCACAAATGGATGAAGCCATCAATTATATAAATAACGCTACAAAGGCAAGCGCGGTAAAGAAGTTAAAGTGTCGCGCTCAACAGAGCTCGTCCTTTGGAAAACAGAGGATGTGCCGGGACCGAAAGTGACGCTTATTTTGTATGTGGATGTTTTCTCCGGTAATTTTGGACTTCCGTCAACTGAGAACCTCCTTTTTTATTTGATCGCCTGAACATGTTCAACGGAAAAGCTCCTTGTGCATGTTCAAGCCTCCCATACACGTACTAAGTAGCCTCTCTTTGTCTTCGCGACTCTACTTCTTTGGGAATAAATGTTTCGTAGACGTAGGAGGCGCGCAATTCAAGGTGTCTACCTAAGGCACATTTTGGTGCAAAGTTTGCTTCCCAAGATCGAAATGCCCCTTAAGATAGTTGTTTATGTTACATGATACGACTTTAGCCCGTGTTTGCAATTTTCCGAGTGCGATTTAAGCATTGAATGTTTATGCAGCTATGCAAAAGTACTTTTAACTTGTCAAAACTAGGAGGATTCTTGCTCCTTTTTGTTTTAACAAGAAGGCTCTTAGTGATCTTTATATCCGAGGTCGAGGTTTGACCAATTGTTTTTTCGCGTTTTCTCCAAAAAATAGACACCCTGAAAAGCCACATTTTTTTACCAGAAAAGTTAAGACGGTAATTTTTTATTGAAGGAGGTTAAGCCCTCGGCCGATCGGAAAATGATAAAACTGTTAACATTTGATAACTTGTTTCGGTCACAACAACCTTCTCGCTAAAACCCGTAGTAAAAAGACTGCGACTGCCACGTTTTCCCCGCCCGAATGACGCTGACTGACGCGCTTGAACTACTTGTTATTGAGAACATCGCGTTCTCGTAGTCGTCCTCGTCTTAGAATCTAAAGTTTTCTAACGACCATGACAATTGACCAAAACGCGAAATCCTGCACTGACTGAATGGTATCGCATTCTTCACGTTAGATGCGCGAAAAGACCCTGCATCTGTCAAGGCCTTGTATAATAAGTTGGTAGCCGAGGGGGTGGAACTTGACGAATCATTTCTGCAGAATCTTAATCACATCCTGCTGAAGTATTCAGAAACAGTGCCATTTGAGGTACCTACACAGTCAAGCTCACCGTCAGAGGTACGTATTTGTAACCCTTGATCTAGGTCCCGGCATAAATGCTCTTCGTACTTGAAAAGACACAGTCCGCTTTGAGACCGTGTTGACTTGGACACTATTTTTGCCACTTTGAAAAGAGTATACCTCAACCCGAAATTAAAGGTACTCATCGGATACGTCTAGAAATCCACTTTAATCTTGCCTAGTGTTTCATTCGATCTTCGATCTTTTACTGAAAACCTGTTCTTAAGTATTAAAAAAAAAAAAGTATGGATCGCGTATCTTGTGATATACAAAACAGCTAAGAAATGGTATCTAATGCGCATGTGCCTCAGCTGAGTATGTCCCTTTAAATTGAGCGTTTAAAACTGACCCATGCCTCGTTTGCTTTGGAATCTCGTAAAGTAGTTTTTCTTTAGCTGAATTTCGTAGGAGAAGCTAAAGTCCACCAGAAATATTAGGGATCAGTTTAGGTTTCTGGGCAACTGCCCACTTACCCCTCCCCTAAGCCATCATTTTGCCCAAAGTGAGAAGTAAGTGTTAATGTTAGCTTAGGGGAGGGGTAGGTGGGCAGTTTCCCAGAGACCTATTAATACTGCTTGAATAGTAATTTGCCAGTGCCAATAGATGTAATGGTGAGGGCATGCACTCTCCTCCCACGAATGTGGCCCAGGTTCGCGTGAATCCTAGAGGTTATCCCGGCCATATGTGGCTTGAGTTTACTGTCGGCCTTTTTCCTTGCTCCGAGAGTGTTTCCCGAGGTACTGTAAAGCCTTGTACAGTAGTGTTTCTTCCTTTCTTCAAAAACCAACATTTCTGATTTCCAATTCTACCCGATCCTAAGACTGTAGGGAACAGCCCTTACCGCTAAAATGGTATTTATACTTATTTCCTTGGTTTGATTTCTCAATATTTTTGCTCTTTCAGACACAAACTCTTGACAGTGACTCCGAAAACTTGAACGAAGACGAAGAAAGTAATGTTCTGGAAGACATCAATAAAGACATCCAGAAGGTAATCAAACTCCCTTGGTGCTTTCAAAAATTCTTCAGCTTCATGTCAGCAGAAATTTTTGCTTCTCCGAAAGTCGAAAATATTACCTTTTTGGTGGGCGCGCTGATTTCAGATTATCAGCTTACGGCCCAGCGATATTGCTGAAGTTTAACTGTGGAACTGAATCGTTTCACTCTCGTGTCGTCGATGCGACTACTAGCAGTCCAGGCGTTCAGATAGTCGGGCGGCTCAAAGAGGAGTAAACAGGAAAAAATACAGCGAGGGCCGCACCAATCTCCACTACCTGAACGCCTTAAAACAGGCTAGAACGTAGGTCGTTGTATATCTCTAGAAGTTAATATGATCAAATGCGCGTAACAACTGGTGCTTTAAATGTTAAAAGAAAAAAGAAACTAAAGTGAACATAGTAATTAAGGCTTAAAAGTAAACAACGCTCCAAATTTAAATCAAAACACTAAATATGTTACATAGTAGGTTAAAAGCATTACATAAATTATATAAAGCTAGTCTAAAAACATGCGTTGTGAGTAAAGATTTAAAAGTTATGAAAGCATTTTAAGGCGTTACGAATTTGTTCCGTATGAAGATAGATCTTTATAGATTAGTCTGTCTAAAATGACAAAATCAATAAATGCTCGCATGATTTCAGACTGGTTATGCTAAAACTTCTATTTTCATTTAAATAAAACTCATTTTGACTTGAAGGGTTTTGTACCTTCCCTTATTTGAAAAAGACAAATAGTCCAGAATAGGGTAAATTTCCATGGCATTGGTTTTGTCGGCCTGCTGTCATAAATTTGTAATTCTTATTTTCAGGAAGATGACTTGAAGTGATTTTCAAACTCAAATGGCCAGAATGAGAACATCATCTGATCTGTATGAGGGTCATTTAACATGTGTTCAACAAGCCACCTTCAGAACGACGCTTGCTTTAACAAGGTTTTGCGTGGATGGAATCTCCCTTACGCCATAGACTATACTGCTGCTTTACGGACGCACAAGTGGTTCGGTTTTTACAATGAAGTGCTCCACATTGAACATTAAAAGCGTACAATTTACTCCCCAAGAAAAAAAGCTTAAAACTAATCTTTGTTCTCCTGGGAAATTCAGGGTTTTAAATTTGTTAGCCCAGCTCCCGTGGAACCTCGATATAACGAACCGCTATATAACGAACTCCTCGATATAACGAACGATTTTCTTTACCTCAATAATAGTCACAAATATGAAAAAGAACTTAGATGTAACGAAACCTCGTTATAGCGAACAAAGTTTGTCAATCGCTTGGCCCTTCATTATATCGAGGTTCCATTGTACTGAGATAGGTGTCTCAAAACATTGATGACCAGTTACGTTTTAATCATCAAATCTAGGGAAAACATTAGCTTAGAATTGATGTTTGTTTCGAGGTAAACTGTTCTCAGAGGTTTGACATATTTATTGGATAAGTTTGTATCGGTTTCTGAGGACTGGAGTTAGAGTAAAGCACAAAATAGAATGCATCGCCTTTTACGCATCCTCGTTCTTTGTATTTTACGTTAGGGACCTTACGATCTGATAACAGTGACGCCATTGAAAACGTCTGAAAAACTGACTTACCGTCCTTTCAAACTTTTTCGAGATTGTTCAGACTCGATCAGTCTTTTAAAAGTTGGCAAATTAAGCTTGGAGCTGAAGAGAGAAGACCGCGTTCGAACTCAGAAAGATACAGTAAGATCTATCCCTTTCACGTTCGAAAGAGGACTTAACATTTGGTTATTTCTGGCCGTGGTTGTGCAGGGACGGCAACAAAATTGACAGAAAAGCGTGATGCGTGATGCATATACAGAGTTGTTGTTGTTCTTCTTCTGTTTTTATTTTTGACGTTCTCGTTGCCGTCGCCGTCGTGGTTTCGTAAGGTCCCTAACAAATAAAATAATTAGCTGAGAACGCGTTTGCTATCAATTCTGTGTTCATGAATTAAAGAGATCGTTTAGAGAAAACAAAAAATGCTTAAATGGTAGTTTATTGGCGAGCTTTAACCAAAGGATTCAAAGCAATTCAAATTTCGATTTCCACACTTCTCACGGCGTGGGCTGTCACCCACCCCACCTTAAGAAGATTCTATTAATAAAATACCTTCCATAGTCCTTGAACCTTCTTTAGTACACTGGACAAAGCTGTTCTGGATTGACGTTTTATTATACAAAAACAAAACAAGCCAAGTAACCTCCATTCATGTTTTTTGCTTTTGAACTTTATTAAATTTCACACATGGAAAAATACTCTCTTGTTGATCACGGAAGGAGGGCTTGCGTTACGGCGTATCCAGACATGGTAACGAAATCACAAAGGTTTGCAAAATCAACGTGATTTCTTAGAAAAAAGAATCACAAAACGAAGTGTTGTTATGTTAAGAATATCGTGACGTGTTTGTGAATGTTTTGAAACGAATTCGACGAGAAAACGGAGGAAAAACTTAAGGACAGTCTACAACTTATTTGACCACTGAAATACGGCCCTTTTTTTCAGACTTCTGTCGTCTTAAAACTCTTCCGGCCACTAGATCGATCGACCTAATTGTAGATCGGTCTTCCATTTGTTTTGCAGATGGCGGCCTGTTGCTCGCGCTTCGTACCAGCCACGAAATGCTGCTGTGTTAAAGCGCAAAGCGCAGTCGGCCAAGAACTTCAGACACTGATATTTCGGCCTCTCGAACAGTTGCTGGACCTTATTTCTCCGTTCTTCTCCTAGGAGCTTGCCATTTCCTCACATTCTGTTGCACAACAGCTTGAAACAACTTTGTTGGATTTGCCTCGTGGCCCTTCGGTGGAAGCATTACAACTTGAATATTTGACGCCTGATGTATCAAAGGATCGTAGTGCTGCATGTAAATACCTCGCTCCAAGTTGTCTTTGCTGCAAAATTACATGATTAACCGAGACTTACCTGTAAGTTGAAGTTTGATCGAGATTCTATTTTGTCATCAGTCCGGAACGAAGGAGTCACATGAGATGCGCATGCGCATTGCAAGTCAGTCTTCGAAGTGAGTGGTACAGGAAAAAAGGAACGAAGGAGGAAGGGAGGGAGGGAACAAGGGCATGTGACTCCTTCGTTCCGGACTGATGACAAGATAGAATCTCGATCAAACTTCAACTTTCAGGTAAGTCTCGTTTAATCATGTAATTCTAACTTGTCATCAGTCTACGTCACTACGAAATCACATGAGATTTCAAAGTCCTGTAACACGAACCAGTAATGCAAGTAAAACAGTATTTTATTAAGGGAAATAAAATCCCAAACAAAAACGAAATAAGAATACAAGATACAAACTAGCAAAATCACCTGGCATCTGGATTCAGTAGCACAGAGCCTAAGTTAGCTGAAGTATTGGACACTGGCTTATCATAGAACCTCGCAAAGGTACTCGCAGTTGACCAACCTGCGCACTTTATAATTTCAGCAATGTTCAAACCCTTAACCTTAACATTGGAGGTAGAAGCAGCCCTGCAGCTATGAGCAGAGTACTTAGTTATGTCAATCCCTGCAGATTGCAAAACTTGCTTAACCCATCTGGAAACAGTGTCCCTAGCTACTGGCTTAAAGGGTTTGACATAACTTAATAATAACTGAGAATGATCTTTACGCAAAGGGTCAGTAAGATGGATATATTCCCTCAAGTGTTGCACAACACAAAGTTCCTTGTTCTCTGGAAAAGCCAATAGTTCTATAGGCTCTAAATGTCTGCCTAGTTTAGTCTGCTTTAGCTTCTCATGGACAGAAATTCTATACCGATCATCCAAGTCCTGTATATCGTTAATGTCAAACTTGTGAATAGTTTGTCCACGCTGGCCAGTGGTAAGACACAGCAACATGGTTAACTTGAGCGTGAGTTCCTTAAGCAGTAAAGCAATTGAAGCACCAAAGGTCTTCAAATAATCCAACACAACGCGAACATCCCATATCTCGTTGTATTTTGGCAGGGATGGCTTTAATTCGAAAATGCCCTTCATGCCACGAACAACCAAAGGGTGATCTCCAAACTCTTCATTGTTTTCCAAAATAAGGGGGGAAGAAAGGGCAGAACGGGCTGTGTTTACCGCACTGTAACCAAGACCAGCCTTGTATAAAGAGACAAGAAATTCGACACCATTGTGTACTCCGGGTTGAAATAGATCAATATCCTTGTCATCACAGTACTGTCTCCAGCGCTTTAAATATGTGTGGTACTGCTTAGAAGTACCCTCTCTCCAAGAGGCCATAAGGACATCTTTCGCACTAGATGATAAATTGTATTTACCTAGACTTTCCCTGATAAGAGACAGACTAGGAGGTTCAGTTTGTGCCAAACTGGGTGTACTTCCTCTGGATGACTTGGTAACCGAAGTAGGTCCCCTTCTTTCCTTGAGGTTAATTGGTTCCTGTTTCAGCATCTCCAGAGCTTTGGGATACCAACCTTGGGCTGGCCAATCCGGCAACATGACAACTAGAGCTTCCTCTCTCTGTATTTTGCTCAAAACTGCGGGAATTACATTGAAAGGTGGAAATGTGTAAAAATCCAGTTTAGACCATTGTAAGGAAAAGGCATCTATGGCAAAAGCTTCAGGGTCTGGTCTGTAGGAAACATACTTCGGAAAAAGGTAATTAATGCGGGAAGCAAATAGGTCAATGTCAGGCCGAAAATTTAACCTGGATAGAGCATTTTGGAGTGCAGCTTTATTAAGCCGCCATT